GGGTTTTTGCGGTTCTCATTTGTGACAAGGTATTATCATCAAACAGTTCGGTAACTATACAGTGTGGTAGAGCAAAAACAGCACCAGTAAATCTTATCATGAGCTTCACTTCAGGCTCGCAGCAGCAACAGCAGCATTATCGCAAAAATGCATAAATGCTCTCTTCGTAACGTGAGCCACTACTTATTTATTTTTAAATCGCCGTTAATAATACATCACGCTCGCATTCATATGGAATTTCCTTCTAATAAAGACGTCTCAATTTATCATATTTTTTGTGCCCTTCCAAAGAGCAGTGTTTTTTGAAAAGAAAAAATTCTCAAAGACATTACAGACAACGATCACGATGAATGGCTTTCGCGCAGGCGGCCTCAACAGAATGAATTTGTTTGATTTTTTCTATCAAAAATTCTTGCATTGTGTCATTTTACATTGACCTCAAAAAATTTGTTCGCTACAATATCTTCAGTATTCCTCCCAATCATTTTTGTTCCGCATCTAACATTTTGCTTCAAAAAAGACGTTTCCAAGAACAGAGCAAGCCAGTGAGATTTCGCGCATTCCTATTAAACCCACGTACTGTAAGCGTAAGTTACAGCAGTTTCCTGGTGAGCGGTATCGTTTTTACTTTTCTATTAAGCTGGTGCTTACTTTTATGTTATTAAAAGATAAAGAGAAAATGATGAAGTAGAAAAAATGAAGGGGAGAAAAACGAAGTAAAAAGCGAATTAGAAAAGGGAAATAGAAGTATGGAAATATTTGCAATAGGTAAGAAATGTTTCGGTCCATTAAGTTGTATACATTTCTTACCGTTACCACAATTGAATCTCGTCAGTATGACGATTGTGGCAACAAACTGATTTGGATGGTTTAGTGTAGCATACAAATTTTTAAGATAAAAACGAAGACAAGAGAAGCGCAAAAAAGATGCCGTAAACTGTATCAGTGAAATTGTCTGCACGCTCCATTCTAGTTTTAAAATTTTCAAAATTTCAATAAGGGGTAACACCTAAGACTGTTTTAGCTTACATCTTGAATTTTGAAAAATAGGAGTCAAAAAAGTAGTGCTAAATTGAGTGAAAACTCACGAAAATGAGCGTAGCAACGAAAGTGGGCGCGAAAAACAGCAGCGCCCCAACGGCGAAACATATAAAAGCGTCGATGACGAGAAGCCTGTTGCGCATTTCGAGGATGAACAACTGATGCTTTCCATTCCAGTGGAAGCATTTCGGCGATGATGATGGCACCGATGACGGCAGCGATGATGCAGCGGCGGAAGCAGCGGCGCTAGCGACCGAAACTCGTCTTCCTGACGACGATGTCATGATGCCCTGGCGTACACACGACCTTTTCCCCCTGCCGCTCGATTTCAATCGCTTTCAACAGATAATAATTGCTGCCACATCCAACAGAATTTGATACCAGTCACACTCTTTTTTCCTACAAATCAGTGATCACTGATCACGCATTCGCGTGTTACAATGAGTTATGAGATTTTTCTTGTCGACGACTGACATGCACAAGCCACTTTTCAACAGCTGAGAGAAAGAACGAATTGGAAAATCTCATGCTGGAACTTTTACATGAGGCCCTACGTAAGAACCAAGCATACTTAGGAACTGACTTTGAAATTT